TTGCCGGCCCCAGAGGTTGCTCTATGGAGGGCCCTGATGTCCATGGGGGTCGAGGTCAGTTGGCAAAATCCTCCACCAAAGGCCCTGATGATACCCTCTCCACGTAGCTCTGTCCCCATACCTGGCAACTGATTGAGCCTCAAGAAATAGAAGACCTGGAAGAAGCCCAGATGAGGCTGGCTATGCAACCAGTTGCCTTATATCCTGAGCAGTGTTTTGCCTCTTATGGTCTCATATTGCCATGTGAAAAATAAAGGGAACTCAAATGTCCATCAGCTGATGAATTGATAAGCAAAATGAGTCTACTCATACAACAAAAGATGACTCAGCCATCTTTTCAAAAAAAGATGACTCAGCCAAAAAGAATGACATACTAACACATCTTCAACATAGGTGAACCTTGAAAACATTGTACTCAGAAAAAGAAGCAAGACATAAAAGGCCACAAAGTACATGATTTCATTTACATGAAACGTCCAGAATGAGCAAATCCACAAAGACAGAAAGTAGACTAGTGGTCGCCAGGGGTTGTGGTACAAGAGGTGACAGCTAAGGGGTGTAGGGTTTCTTTCTGGAATGATGAAAATGTTCTAAAATTGTGGTGATGAATGCACAACTCGTTTTCTAGTAAGAAACCACTAAACTGTACATTTTAAATGGGGGCATGGTACAGTACGTGAATTATTTTAATAAAGCTATACAATGAATGAACGAAATAAAGGCAGTGCTCCATGTGTTATACAAAGTCCTACTCACAATTCAAATACTGAGATCCAGGTGATAGGAATGGAAGGCAGGTGAATGGGAGAATTCTCTTACTGACTTCTCTCTCAGAAAACATAATTGCAAAATGAAGGGCAAGGGAATCAAAGAAGGGAGTTTTATAAAAAACGAGCATTTTCAAGTGTTGGGATTTCAACTATCCTTTCAAAATTTAAAAAAAAAAATGAATAGTCATAAGGCCGGCAGCTTATACTATAATGCACCACTAAGAAAGCTATGATTGGAAAAGAAACCAAAGCAGGTGTGAGTGGTCGGCCCACACTGGTGGGGCACCTCAAGGACTTCTTACACTGTGGGGAAGGGCTCAACGGCTACCAAACTGGTGGACAAGCCTCAACCCAAACCGCTCTTTCACCCACTAGCATCTATTTTCCACTGAAAAACCTGCTCAGAACATGCCTACTAGAGCACCTGCCTTCGGTGACACCACTTAAATTGGACTATGTCCATGTTCTTTCTTTAGGTGACAAGTGCCTTGGCTTTTTTTTTTTTTTAACACTTTTTAAGCCTTCTCTAGTTCTCAGCCAAAATAGATGCTAGGTAAGATGTTGATTAAACCAAAGTCACTTTGAAAAAAATGTGACTTGTCAGTATTTGCAAGGTGATGAGAATTCAACCATAACACACACATGTGCATACACACACATGCGTGCGCGCACACACACACCTCCCATATCTATAAAACCTGTTTTTTTATTTGTTTGTTTCCTTATCTTCACCCTGGAGACAGTATCAAAAGATCAGGCATTTGCAGTTCTGAAAACCTCACCTTAAAGCTCTGTGATGGTCATGTCTAAAAGTTAAGTTGATTACAGTGACACTGGGGAAATATTAATTCAGGATTGCCTTGGGTTTGTGCATAAATTGTGCCCTGGCCTGCGACAGTAATTATCACAAAAGAAGAAAGCTGAGCATCAACCCAGAAGGAGACAACATAAAATCCAGCAGGCTTCGTTAGTGGCATGAAATGTCCTATTTGATTTAAATCAAGTGTTTGAACCTCCAGCCCCTTTGGGTAGCAGTACAAGCAAATTCAGTGAATTATAAATGGCCGGATCTATGGCCAAGGACATAATTCAAATTTGAGCAGCTGGGCTTCTCTGCAAAAGCTATCCCACCCAGGCCCCTGTGGACCACCTAGCAGGACTTAGGGGAAATCTGACACCATTGCCCCTACTCATTTTTCCTTTCTAGAATGTTCACAAGGAAAATCTCACCCAAATTCTCTCTTAGTCACTGGAGGCTTCTTAGACTGCAGTACTCTGGGGACAAAGACTTCTCTGGTTCCTGATCTGGTTTCACGATACCTTGGAAACCAGGCCCTGGGATGAGAAGTCCTACAGATTGTCCAAGTCAATGGGACGAGCTCGGGCTCAGGCCATCTCGAGCAGGGAAGGCACACATCAAAACTGTGAGCTGGCTCGAGACACGCCTGCCCTGGCAAAAAGCCCAAGGAGATGAAAGGCCCGGCAAACAAGGACCCCTTGCCAGCACTGACGTATCAGCATCTGTGTTTGTTTAAAAGATGTGGAGCGAGAGAGAGAGTGCGATTTTGCTTTCTCGAAGAACATTCGGAGCCAATTTTGGCACCCAGATCTTCACAGGAAGACCTCATGGGGCTCTGTGAGGTGTAAGCGGGTGTTAAGGACAGAATTTCCTGCCTGCACTGGAAATTCCAATGATAACTGACATTGGATTATTGTTTTAAAGGAAAGGAGAAACTGCTACACACTTGGGACAGCCAGGATGATCACAATATCTATGCCAAGTTCTGGAAACTCAAGTGCATAAATCGACTTCAGTGGTTCTCGAGGTGAGGTCCCCAGACCAATAGCACACCTGGGAGTTTGTTAGAAATACAGGTTCTCAGACCTCACCCCAGACCTCAGGGATCAGTAGCTCTGTGGTAGGCCTAGAAATCTGGATTTAACCTGGAGGTTTAATCCTCCGGAGCGTTTTGATCCATGCTCAAGTTTCAGAAACCACTTGTGCTCCTTTAAAATTCCCCAGCACCCTCGCCTTGGGAGGCTGAGGTGAGTGAATTGCCTGAGCCCGTGGGTTCGAGACCCGCCTGGGCAACTTAGTGAGACCTCATCTCTACAATAAATCAAAAAATTAGCCGGGCGTGGTAGCGAGTGCCTGTAGTTCCAGCTAGTTGGAAGGCTGAGGCGGAAGGATCGCCGGAGCCCAGCAGGTCGAGGCTGCGGTGGCCGGGAGCGGCCACTGCACTCCAGTCTGGGCGACAGAGTGAGACTCCAACTCAAAAAAAAAAAAAAAAATTCCCCAGCAGAAATGATCCCCAGCCTCAAACACCAGGATGCATTTATTTCTTCCCTACTGATCGCACCTTCCATGTGCAAGACACTGCTCTGGCTGCAGTCAGAGCCAAGGAGGACACTCATCCCACTGGCCAGGATTTTCTGGGTAAATGTGCAAGTTTAAACTCTCAGAGGGCCTGTACCCCTGGGTCCTTGCTACGAGGACAGCAGGAAGAAAGCAAAATGAAGAGGACTGCTGATTTAGCTATATACAGACACACAATCTGGGGTCACTCAATGCAGCAAGAGTGGCATTTCAGGCTGGACATTTCATGGTGGAGGCTGTCCTGGGCATTAGGGGATATTTAGTAGCATCCCTGACCTCTACCCACTAGATGCCAGGAGCACCCTTCCCTCCTGTTGTGACACCCAAAATTGTCTCCAGACATTGCACAATGTCTTTGGGAGGTAAAATCATCTTGGTTGAGAACTGCTAGGTTAAACTAGAGGGTTCTGGTTCTGGAAATGTAAATTATGTTAGACAATTAAGCCTCCAGAGTCTATAAAGGCCTAAATTATATCAGGTACCAGTGTCTCCACAACCCAATCTGGGTAGATAGCCCCAGATTCCAGGCTTCTGAGAATGTGGAACTTGGAGCACTCAGGTCCAAAGAATGGCCTTCAGAGGATGACACTTCTGGTGCTGTAGTACACCTTTGATCACTGTGTTGCTAGTTTCCTGATTTGTGATAACATCAAGCAAAAGTAATATAGTGGCAGCAGAGGCAATGCCATGGGGTCACTAAGTCTCTCAGTTCTCCAATAATGTTTGTTTAGAAAAAATAAAGTTGTTTCAAATAGATCAACAAGTTAAGGAACAATGTAAGCATAGTTTGAATTTCACCTTGTTTATGCATGATTTCATCCACAAGAAGCGCTAGGTGAATGCACAAAACTGCACCCAGCTGAACCCAGGGGCATTAGAATACACAAAACGCACACACCCCCAAACATCCACAAGCTATCTCCGTTCACACATATGTGAGGAGCCACACTCATCCACACCTGCTGTGACAACTTCCCCTCTGATTTCAGATCACCCTTCTTCCACTCCGTCCCAGTAACTTCCAAGCTACAGCCCTTCCAACAGCCACTCCAAGGCAACCTTAGGCCTTTCTTTAAATATTTTTTTTATTTTAAAATTGTGGAATACAGTTAAGGGTTAGGTATACAAATATTCACTGTGCAGGTACCCTTGTTGAAGAGGTGTGCCCCCCTTTCCCTAGACAGATATTGACTACCATTAATCCCACCTTCCTTCCCCTCCCTGAACCCCCCCCCCATAGTTTCCTGACACTGTCCATCCTTTTCTTATAGTATTACGGTAGACCTTTTAAAGATGAAGTGGCATATTTATTGTCATACTTATGTACTTCTTAACCATTTAACATGTGTCAAGTGGCCCTACCATTCTTCTCAGTTTCCCATCTCTTTTTTTTTTTTTTTTTGATGTATCACTAGTGCAGTTTTCGACTGTTATGTGCCTCACCCATTTTTCCCAGAAGTCCTAAGGCTTGCATAGCTTATTTTTGCATAGAGCAGTGATTTTGAGGAACCTATGTCACATTATAGAAGAATTGATTGTACCTTCTCCCTGAGCCAAGTGTCATGTGGGTGACAGAACAGCAATGCCAAGCCCTGCTCCTCTGACTCCTCCCCGTTTTGACTCAACTTTCCTTAGCCCAGACAGCAGTCCAGTCTGGAAGCATCTCCTCCCTTCCTAGGCTGCACGGTTGTCCTGCTCTAAAGCTTCCCTTCAACACATTCACCACAACTTCCTGACATCATCTGTCGAGGACTGGTCCACCCTATAGACCTCGAATTCTGTAAGGGCTGAGACTGTGTCCCATTCATCTTTTTCTCCCCAGAGTCACTCTGGCCACATGTTCTGCTACTCACCCACTCCGCGTCACCAGGCACTGCCGGAGACCCAGTTTCCGGAAGATGTCCACCACTGTCTCCATTGGGGTGTGGTCTGTGACTGTGAAAGGGCTGAGGTTCAGGATTCGCCGCAGCTTCAGGGGGTGTGGGCTGTTGGCCGGCAGCTCAGGGGGCTCCTCCGTGAAGTACATGATGGAATTGCTCACGATGCCTTCCTGCCTCTGTCTGGCATTCTCTAGAATGGGGACGAGCAGGAACAATAAGCCACGCAAAATTCCCTTGTTGAGCAACTCCCCCAGCCCCCACCCCACACAGCATCCAGAATCCCACAGAAAGAGAGGGTGTAGAAACAAACCACACATTCTTAATGAGAGGCTTCAGCCAAACATCTGTGCAATTGTCATCTCCCTTCAGCTAATGCTGTGCAAGGGTCGCCCTGCTGTGACCAAATCATTCACTACCAAAGCCTTGCAACATGGACCTGCCCAAGATGAGCCCTTTGGGGACTTTCATTGCTTCCCCCTGGACTCTAGGGTACCCCAAACAGCTCAGAGTCCTTCACTTTGGCTTTCCTTACACTCCTTCACCTCATCATAGGCTACAGTTTGACATGACAAGAAACTTCACTTAGCTGCCCAATGACCTTAATACGTTGTTTTTCTTTTTACAAACTAACTTATAATTGGCCCAGATGGCATTATGAATCCTAAGAAGAACAAGAAACCAATACGACCAGCTAGGCTCACAGCCCAGAAACGCAGCTCAACCCAAATGTGACCCTTGGGTCCAAAGAAACAACCCTAGAAATGCTGCATTCCCTGCCCCTTGAATCTCCTGTCTTAAAAACAGACCATTTTGTGGATTTCTCAAAGAAAGATAGTCGAACTGTTATGGTAGCAATTAGCCTATTTATGTCTGTCGAAAAAGCCATGTGAAAGAAAGCTAAAGAAAAGTAGGGTAACAGGAACTCATTAGAAATACAGCTTCACATGGGGCTAGAAACCTAGGCTATTTTAAGTCACACATGAAATAAATCCATCGGTCTCAAGATATTTCTCCAAGGCGATTTTCCCTCTGTTGGAATTTTAATCTTTCTTTTGGTTCGTGGGAAAAGGTCAGGAAAAATGTGCAGCAAGGATTGCCTTAAGATGGATCCTGGTTTCTATAATCCATTTCTTGCCTTCTCAAAGACTACCATTCACCTATATTGTTCTTTCAAAAATAAAATTCTAACTTCCTCCACTAAGGCCATTTAGTGCAATAGAGTACTCCAATGGAAAACTGGCAGCATTTGGGGTCAGGCTGAGTCTGAAAAGGGGTCTCTGTTTAAAAGAGAAACAGAGGGCCTGCTGGGCAAATGCCTGCACATTATATGGGTCAGGTTAAATCTAGTTACATCAAATGGGCTATGATTCTACCCCAAATACCAGACAACTTTGATGCACAACACATTTCCAAGCATAGCCCCTGCTCTATACCACTGCACACTTCTCTTCTAAATCAAGATGGTTCTGTCCTTAAGCACTAAGGCAGGGAGGCAAGAAGCAACACAGACTTATTTGCTCATTTTCATAGACACCATGATTCTCTTAAAGTCCCATGTAACCAGATTCCCATCTACTTCAACAATTAGGTTGAATGTCAGGATTGGATCAAGTCACAAATCCCAATCAAGAATTGATCATGTGGATTTGCTGAACTCCTTATTAAGCCAAATACAACACCATGAATGACTGATCCACTTGCGAAAATAAATAACAAGCTCACATTTCCTCTGAATCTACTGATTTGGTCAGAAGTCCTAGTGCCTAGACAGTGCACAAGAATACAGTAGACCCAAAACATGTATCTTCCAAATGCACACAAATGAATGAATGAATGAGTAGTTCTACTATATGACAGTGTGTCCACGTGGTTCTGCCACATAGAACAGAACCTACAAGTTCTGACAATTAAGTTTGAGAACTTCTGACAATTAAGTTCACAAACTCATCCTAGAAAAAGTGCTACATACCTCATTGCTGACTACCACTATGGATACCTTCAAAGTACTCCCCTTGGGATGCTATACACCGATGCCAGCACCTAGTTCACCTGCCAAAGCAATTTTGGAACTCTTTTTCTGGAATGCTATCAGAGCTGTTGTTGTATTACCCTTGATGTCCTGAATGTCATCAAAATGTCTAACCTTCAATATTTCCTTTATCTTTGAGTAAAGAAAAAAGTCATTAGGGGCCAGATCAGGTGAGTGGGGAGGGTATTCCAATACAGTTATTTGTTTGCTAGCTAAAAACTCCCTCACAGACGGTGTTGTGTGAGCTGGTGCATTGTCGTGATGCAAGAGCTCCTTCAAGACCATTTTGCACACTTTTCTCATGCCAAGATTTTCAGTTAAGATTATCCTAACTGTTTCTCTATCAATGTTTATTTGGTCTGCTATGCTTCTCACAGTCAGCTGATGATTTTGACAAACAATTAGACAGATTTTTGCAGTGTTTTTGTCAGTTCTGCTTGTTACTAGCTATTCTGACCTCTCTTCATCGGTGACACTTTCTCTCCCCTCAGAATAATGTTTAATCCATCTGTAGACTGCTGTTTTCTTTATGGCATTATCCCCATAAATTTGGATTAACATGTCCCTGATTTCACTTCCACTGTCGCCAAGTTGAACAAGAAATTTAATGTTTGTTCATTGCTGTATTTTAAGTTCTGACAAAAGCATGCAGCAATAATAAATACTACCCAGCAAGACACTACCACATGTTGACATGAACATAGCTGTGAGACACTGATATACCAAGGTTATGAAACCTTACTGAGTTGTTTGTACAGTGCTGCCAACATAAGCACACAGTGGCAAGTTCATGAGCTTAATTGTCAGACCTTGTACTTCACATAGGATACACTAGGAAGAGATGCCCATGAGCTATTCTCTGCCAAAGAAAAACCACAGGCATTGGCTGTGGTCCGAGCCAGCGATCAGAGCCATGCTCCTTGCTATTCCAACAGGGCAACTGCTTCTCTCCTCAGAAGAGCTCTGCTAGGCCACTTTGGAACCCTATTATAAAGACTTGAATGAAGGTTTCAAACTGTGGAGGTAGGGATACTAGAAATAGACCAAAAGCCAGTGAATGGAAGAAATACCAGCAATAAAAGCTCTTTGCAATTCTCTACTAGAGTGAGCCAGCAACTCCCAGTTTGGACCAGAAGTCTTCATGAGTCACCAAAAGGCCTGCAACAAAACTACAGCATGTAAGTTCACAGACGGCAGAGATGGTCTACTGTCACCCCTAGACTCCTGGCTCCTAGGATGGTAACAACACATGGTGGACACTCAAGAAATATTTCCTACATGAAAGGATAAACCAACTAATTCCTCACCCAGGGGATGAGCCAGTGCTACCCCAGGAGCACTAGGGAGTTTGTGCTGGAAAAGAAACCATAACGATACAGCCCTTTTTAAAAACCTAAGAGACAAAATGGAAATGTATTAAATATTAACCATGACCTTCGATGATGATGAGAATGTAGGTATCTGTTTTTATTTTTTCTTTTGTTTTTGATTTCCCCAATATTCTTTGAGTGTGTATTACTTTTACTTTGAAGAAAGTATAATAAACTTTCATTTTAAATGTTTTAAAGGTAGCTAAACTGTTTTTAAAACTGTCTTCAATGTAGGAGGTTTGTCATATATTCTACTAGAACTAGTCTCAGTGGCCACAGCTCCTGAAAATAATGTACATTTTATGAGTACCTGCTAAGGTTATTCAGTTTGACATTCCTTTTTCTAACAGCAATTTGTTCATAATGTGAGATGCAGAGAGGGTAAATGGAATTTCACAAACTATGTGAGAGGTCAAGAAATTTTTAAAGATTGGAAATAATCATATATCCAGTAGGACATTGAGTGGCTTTGGAGTATGGTTCTCAACTGGGAGCAATTGTGCCCCCAACCTCAGGTGACATTTGGCAATATCTGGAGACGTTTGTGGTTATCAAAATAGGGAAGGGCAAGAGCTCCTGGCATCTAGTGGGTGGAGGCCAGGGATGTAACTCAGCACCCTACAGTGTACAAGATGGCCCTCCTACAGAGAACCACCCAGCCCCAAATGTCAGCAGTGCTGAGGTTGAGAACCCCTACTTTAGAGTAATTATGTTTTTAGGGAGGGAATGCTCTATCACCCATTAATTTAAAATGCTTCCATTAGATAGATGTAATTAGTGAGAAAGGCTAAAACAGAAAACTGGAAGCAACCACAGTAGTGGCCAATACTTAAATGATAGGATTTTTTTAAAGACTATGTAGAAGAAAAAGCAGATTGCTTTACGGCAAGTTATTGTCTACTAAAGCATAGAGAAGTCCCTCTGCATATATTTTTAACATCCCCAGCAGAAAGAAGCAGATGACACCACTGTTCTCCATGACCTAGTCTAATAACTAATAGCCTTTCCAGGAAGAAACCTCTTTCCCCTAAATAGCTCATCTGACAGATCTGACACCTAACTTCTTGCTCAGTCCTGGATGTAGATCCCTTTCTGCAAGTAAGCATCTACCACATGCCAGAAAAACATTATTAAATAATTCACCAGACCAAAAAAAAAACCTGAAAGTCCCCTTACCTCTTCCCGAAACTCTGTCCTGACTTTAATCACCTCTGCACTCCCAGGTGTCCTTTCTGAACCTTTACTCACTTAGATGTAGAATTGAAGACAGAACTGCTGAGTATAGAAGGAGCCCCAGATTTGCAAAGAACAACCAGAGGTAAGGGCCCATTTACCAGTAACTTGAGCAAGGTTCGCATTCGGTCCCATGTGCCAGTGTGGATGGTAGGAACAAGTCCATCCCCAGCAAAGACAAGGGCTGGGCTGTGGCATTCCAGAGATGAATTGAAAATAACAAAACATTTTCAGCTTCATGTGAACAGGTGCTACAGTTTTAAACATGATGTGTAAGAAAAATCCTTATCTACCTCACCATTCTCTTCCTATCCACAGTATCTTGGATCTAACTATCTAGAATCTTTGTTCCCAATTCCTAATTGCCATAGTATAGTGTCAAGCTAAATGCTGTCGTATTTCTGTATTCATTAGATGGCATAAAATTCCTCAAATACAGGTCATGAATTTCTCCAACAGAGTTCAGGGGCTCTTCTATTTCCACAGACCAGAAAAAACAGCTTTTCTGATTCTGCAAAGCAAAACACCCCTTGCCTTTGCACAAACCATGGAAATAACAGCTTCTATATTATTACCAGTGTGATTGAAAGAGTATAGGTATTATTTGCACCGTGTGGTGCCTCTTCAGACATTCCAAACATAGCTTCTAAGAGAGCGCTTGGTTGGCAAGCTTAAATTTCTTCTCTAACCGGCTGATGACAATTACTGCTTCCCACTTGATTACAGTAATGGATTTCAGCAAAATCAGTAAGCTGTCTCTTAGCAGGTGTGCCCAGAGCTATACAATAGATAATGGATTCTGTGACATTTATTACTTTAGTTTTTAAATTTCAACCTTTGCTTAAAAGATTCTAGGGATTGAATAATTTTTTAAAGGCTGCTGATTACATTATTTTAAAACAAATCCAACCCTACTTAAACTTTTTTTTTAAATCCTCATTATTTATAAGGCAATATTTACACAAAGACACCTACCTATTAAGCAACAGGACCTCTAATAAAAAGAAGCCTCACTAAACACTTAAGCACAAACTTGCTGTGGTGCCTAAAATATAAAATCAATTTTTACTATGGGGGAGGTAAAAATGTTTGAGCGTCAAGCTAAAATGAGAGGGTACATCTTATCTAAATTTATTTTTATAAAGACTTTGATGAAGATACTTTAAAGGTATTTTAAAAGCTATTTACCATTGGAAAGAGGTTTAGAAATTGAAAGGAAGTGCGTTAGAAACTGGAAACGAAGGGCAGGGAGAAACCAGCAGTTGCTGGTGAAGATGTGTTCACAGGGGTGTATTCCACAATCAGACCTGGGAAAGTCCCATGGACATGCTTCACAAACACTCTGGAAGATGGACTGTTTTATGAGGTCATCACACGCATGTGTGAGACATGCCATGGGCCGCAGTCTACTATGGGTTGCTGGGATGGTGTGCAGATCTCAGAGCAAGGATGCTGAGCAGGATGACACGTGCGTTTGCCACGGGCCCACGGATGAGTTATGCTAGCCCCTGGTGCTGACTGCATCCTGAAGCCCAGCAGGACTCCGTCCCTCTGAGGCTCACTGCTCCTCCTTGCCTGGAGCTCCCAGCCACTCACACCCAGGCCTCTGACCTCTCATTACCTTTCCAGTGTAGCCTACCCCTTACATGGGCACTGTCTCCGTCCCTCAACAGCCTACCCCTCAGCGCAGCTGATTGTGGTTCAAACATGAGGAAGAAAGTAATCACACAGAATTGACTCCAGTGTTGTCTGCTAGTTTACCCAAGCAGGCCCCTAGCTGTGGAATCGAACATCATGTCATAAAGCGAAGGAAAAGACTCACAGTAGCAAGGGAGGTGTTGGAGGCAGAGAACTCACGATCTCAACCCGTTATTTGGTCTGTCTGAAAGTTTCACTCTGAGACTAGCTAGGCCTGGGCAACTCCAGGCTCTCATAGCTTCTCTTCTTTCTCAACTGCAGCCAACAATTCTCGAACAGGCAGCAGCGGCAGCGGAGTGGGGCCCAGATGGCCACTTGCAAACATGCAGCCACTCTCCAGCCATGAATGACTATCCAAGCCTTGGGTTAACCCCTTGTTCCTCAAAGTGTGATGTGGAGACCAGCCGCATCACCACTAATGGGAGCTTATGAGAAGTAGAGGGTCTCAGGTCCTACCCCAAACCTGCACAATCAGATTCTGTGTTTAAGCAGCTCCCCCCGTGAAAGAGATAAATTAAAGCTTGAGGGCCCCTGGCTTAATGCACAACCTCTCGACCCTCTTGGATAATTTTAGGGATACAAAGGCTGCCATTCGTCTCTTAGTAAAATGTGAGCTTCCCTCTCTTTACTCACTTATGGCAAGAATCAGTTCCCTCCTCTGGGCAAATCCGATGAGGCGCTCAGAGTCTCTAGAGACCACTACAGGGAAGCCATTGTAGTCGGTCTCCTTGATGAGTGTCTCCACGTCCTCGACAGTCATGCTGTCCTGGGTGAGCACCGACAGTGGTGGCTCTCCCCGCCGGGGCCGCATGACGTCAGTGGCCAGAGTGCGGTGGGTGAATTCGTCCTTCACATCGAGGAATGGGTAGCCGTTTAAGTGGATGTGGGCCTCGTAGATGCCTTCTTTCCCAAAGGCATCGGCTACCCACTTGCTGGTCACAGCCGCTGCCATCAGGGGCACGATGTACTCCAGACCCCCTGTTAATTCAAACATGATAACCACCAAGGACACCGTCATCCTGGTAACTCCACCTGTAACGGGAGAGAGAAGTGAGACTCTGAAGTGCAACCCCAGCCACTCATGGGACATGATTTGGAGAAATCGATAGGAGGACTGTAAGTTCCCCTCAGACTTGTTCCAAGAGGACATTCCTATATGCTGCCCATGCTGGACCTCTGGAACCGAGGTCAGGCTCTGTCAAACATAGTCTTGTGTTGGGGAGCTGAAGTCATATCTGACTGGGGGCTCTACTCCAATGGAAGACCCTGGATTGTCTGTATACCTGGGCCCACACACCTGGCTTTGTGGTAAGTGGATTCTATGTGGGCTCTGCTGACTTCTAACTAAGCAAGCATGGCACTCTTCCAGAACCCCAAAGCTGGAAAATGGTAAAGATTCTTAGGGATTACAGACAGGAGAGGGACCCATTTTTGTACCCTTGCATGTCTGGGTGAAGAGCCTTCTGCTAACCTATTTTTTAAAAATTATTATTTACAGACGGTTCCCAACTTACAATGGTTCAATTTACTACTTTTGATGCTATGATGGTACAAAAACAATACATTCAGTAAAAACCTTGTTTTGAGTACCCATACAACCAACCATTCTGTTTTTCACTTTCAGTACAGCATTCAATACATTACATGAGACATTCAACACTTTAATATAAAAATAGGCTTTGTGGTAGATGAGTGTGCCCAGCTGTAGGCTAATAGAAATGTTATGAGCATGTTTAAGGCAGACTAGGCTAAGCTATGATGCTCAGTAGGTTGGGGTATTTAATGCATTTTTGACTTAATATTTTCAACTTTCCCTATCATAAATCAAGGAGCATCTGCATACATATTTTTTTTAGTCAGGGTCTCACTCTGTTGCCCAAGCTGGAGTGCAGTGGCATGATTACAGCTCACTACAGTCTCGACCTCCTGGATTCAGGCAGTCCGTCTGCCTCAGCCTCCCAAATAACTGGGACTACCGGTGCATGCCATCACAATTGCCTAAGATTTTATAGAGAAAAGGTCTTGCTGTGTTGCCCAGGCTGGCCTCAAATGATCCTCCCCAACTTGGCCTTCCAAAGTGCTAGGATTACAGGCATGAGCCACTGTGCCCAGCCCATGTATATTTTATAAATATATATAGTGAGTGAGATATAAGTCTTGGTGTATTAAGGCACTAAGATTTAGGGTTTACTTGCCACAGCAGCACAACCTAACCTCTTCCAAGTAAAGCAAATGTTCAAGTCCATGTCTTCCTTCTTGCCAGTTCTCTAAGCCAGATCAGCGCCCCGGCCCCCTCCCTGTCCCACCTGTGGTCATACCTAGGCAGGCTGCAGCTCCCACCATTGCGTAAAGTCCTGGTGTGACACAGTCTGCCCCGGGTCTGCACCAGTTCCTGAAGATGATCCAGTCATGGTGGTGGTACGCCAACTGCTCCACACCAATTCCTACCATCCTGCCTGCCATCGCTCCCACAGCCATGCTGGGGATGAAGAGGCCTGATGGGATCTTGAGAGGACACACACAGAAAAGCAGCATGAAGGAAGAAGGCCGTGTCCCTACTTCACAACCCCTTGGAAAACACAGTGGCCCTCGACAAGCTTGCATTTTGTTTCTGTCTTCAAAGGAGGTGCAACTCTGCAAAATAGGTCAGCTGGGAAAAGGTGGGACAAGTGATTTGACCTGCTTAGTCAGTCATATCTTCTGTGACTTAGAGAGAATGCAATTTTATATTTTATTCCCTCTCCTTCAAAAGCTGGCCTGGTTTGCCTGCTGTGGATTAAAGAATGATAAGCCCCACTGCAAATAACATTCAAAGTGAGCATCTGTCACTTGAGACACGACTTTCTCTCTCCCCTTGCCGTGTCATTCAGACTGGCTTTTAAAATTAAATGTCAAGCCACAGCATGAAAATGGAAAAGAAGAGCCTCCAACTGCTTATAGGTAAAATAAAGAAGCTGAATGCATCATTGCAGCTGTCCTGGATCTTCCAGAAAGCTCTTCAAGGGCTCCCTGCCCTCCCTCATAGGTGGTGGCTGAACACCTGTCAGACAGAGAAGTGAGGGAGGTAGTTCTCTCTTCTTAATAAAGTACATTTTCCAAGAAGTATTCTGAATATTTTCAAGCCAGTGTAGGGGCAGCAAAGAAACCGTCTATGTAAACTAAAAGATCTTGGTATTAGTGTGTTCTCTACTTTGCTGAATGAAAATACATTTTAGTTTGTCTAGTGATCACACGTGTGCTATAGAATATGCCTGCCTCCCCGTGTTCACGGAGATCACACGTGACCACTGATCCTGGCAGCAGCTGCTTTTATGTCCACCCCAGGTAATCAGCCACCTGAGGATGGAAGCAGATATTTAACCTAATTCAAGTTCAGATTGGCTCCTCGTGTGTGATTTCTAGAGTCTGGACCATTCCCTAGGACCTTGTTCCTTTCAGAGCTTGTCCTTATTCCACAGTCACTTAAATCCCTGTAACTTCAAAATAGATTTCTCTCAGCAAGCACCAAAAGATGCTGCTGACACCTCCCTCAGACATGAAAATAAATCCTTTTCTAGGAGAGGATGACTAAGAGTCAATTGGCTATAAATGAAGTCCACCCATCCTTGTTATTAAGGCACAAATCCAGGTTTGTGTTTGACCACTACACACTCAGGTACACCATTTCTTAGACTGTTTAAAAATAACACAATTCACAGAAATACCACACAGAAAGCAAAGGTAATGGAACACAACAGAGGGTTCTGGAGAAGGGATAATATTTTGCTTCTCGTCCTGAGTGTTGGTTACACAAGTGTGTGTGTTTTGTGAAAATTCATCAATAAAAGTTTTTTCAAGCAAGCAATAATAGCACTATTAATATAGCCAAAAATGAAAACAACTCAAATATCCATCAAAGGATATGTGGACAAACAAAATATAGCCTATCCACACGATGGAAGATTATTCAGCCATAAAAAGGAATGAAGCACTAACGCACGTTACAACATGGACAAACCTCGAAAACACTGTGCTAAGTGAAAAAAAGCCAATCACAAATGGTCACATATTATATCATTCCATTTATATGAAGTGTCCAAAGTAGGCAAATCCATAGAGACAGAGCAGATTAGTGGTTGCCAGGGACTGGTGGGAGATGAAAATGGTGAGTGGCTGCTGACGGGAGTGGGATATCCTTTTGGAGAAATGAAAATGTTCTGAAACTAGAGAGAGGTGTTGGCTGCTTGACAACATGAATGTATGTAATACCACTGAAGAGTATACTTTAAAATGATCCATTTTATGTTTTGTTTTACCTCAATTTTTTTTTAAAAGCAGTAATAGTTTAATGCCAGGTTCCATGAAAGAAAGCTCTTTAGAAAGTGCTTTTAAAGTATCTAAACTGATTTTAACACAGCATTCAGCAAAAGAAAGTTATCTCTCTGTGGCTTTAAACACAAGAATAATGAAAGTACGTGCTGTCATTCACAGCTCTCGAGGACACCCCCATCAAGAGAGGATATGTACAAAGAGCTTCTGTCATGCCCAGCACTACCCAGACTGGGGACACACTCACTTTGTACTCCCAGAGCCATGTACTCTCAAGGACAGTTTCTACCCTGGGTCACCTCAGACTTAGCACAGGGCCTGAGATACAGCTGATGTTCAGTGTATGGTTGTAATACAAACTGGGCCAAACCTGGGCTTTTTCCACCACCTGGTATCAGCCAGCCAGCAAGTAAACCTGTGCTTACCCCACCTGTACTGGGAATGTGATGAAGTGGGTTTGATATCTTGCTCTGTCTCCCATAAGCTGCGGGTCTGATCAAGCCACATAAAGTCTCTGAGCCTTAGTTTCTACAGTTGGGAAATGGGATTACAATCTCTATTGCAAAAACTTGTTGTTTATTAGATGCATTATTTCCTGTTGATTAAAAGAATATCAAATGAAGGAGGCCAAGGTGAGAGGAATGCTTGAGCCCAGGAGTTCAAGACCAGTCTGGGCAACATAATAAGACCTCGTCTCTACAGAAAAATCAAAAACTTAGCCAGGTGTGGTGGTGCTTGCCTGTAGTCCCAGCTACTAGGGAGGCTGAGGCAGAAGAATGGCCTTATCCAAGGAAGTCAAGACTCCAGTGACCCGTGATCATGCCACTTCAGCTTGGGTGACAGAGCAAGACCCTGACTAATATAAATTTTAAAATAATAATAAGAGAATGTCAAATGAGAACATGCAAGAAAGGTCGGTTCCCCTTTCTCTTCCATTACAATTTTATTTTGAAGAGTAGGGCACCATCCCCAGAAGGACATCGGTCCTCACCCCATCTTCCTTCCCTTTCACTTACCTTCATGCCAAAGGTAAATATGGTAACAACGATTTTGAAGATCAGCGCCAGGGCCAGCTGCCACATAGCCGTGTAAACACCGACACCAGCTGGCCGATCCGGAATGTCATCCACAGGCCGGGTCATGTTGGGGTCATTGATGTAGTCACAGAGCTGGGAGGACTCGAGCGCCCCACAGTCATTGAACAGCTCAGAAATGAGCTCACTGGTGCTCTGGCGCGTGTAGGGATTGGGGTAAGCGATAATGGCAGTGATGGCCGTCACCACGATAACCTCCAGCACCGGGTACTTCCCCAGCCTGGTGGTTTTACGCCTCCTGCACCAGGCGATGTTGCAGCGGATAAAGAGCGTTCCCCACAAGCCCCCAAAGACTCCAAGAAGGATGAAGGGGAAGAGTTCAGCCATGTACCAGGGTGTGTGGTATTCCACATAAAACAGAACAAGGCGGCTATTCCCAAAGGGATTGATGGATCGCAGCGTAAAGGCTGCCACCAGGGCCGCAAAAAACGACCTCCACAGAGTCTTCAAGGGAAAGTAGTAACTGACCTGGAATGAACAAGTAGAAAATTAGAGGCTGGCCAGAGAAGAGCTGCTCAGAGCCCGGTCCCTTTGGTCGGCAGACACCTGCTGACACTCGGCACAAAAGGTACACTCTAAGACCAAGAGTGAATGTACTCACTCCGTCAGCCTGGATTTAATATTACCAATATGCACCAACAAAGGAATATAACTGTGTCTAGAAGTGGGATGAATACTAATCAAGGTGAGTTTGAGCTATGTTTTTAAAAGAAATAAAAAAATTTAATCATAATTCTGTTCATGGCACAGAGACCCTCCTAAAAACAAATAAACCTCTGGATTTGATTCTACAGACAAGAGAATAGATCAAGGGTTGGAAAACTCCAGTCCACAGGTTAACTCCAGCCCAGTGAACGTATTTGTATAGCACGTGAGTTTAGAGTGGTTTTTACATTTTTAATTGGTGGGGGAAAAAATCTTTTGATTTGAAATATTTTAAAGAAAAACAATAGTTTGTGACATGTGAAAACTATATAAAATTCAAATTTCAGTGTCCATAAAGAAAGTTCTATAGAAACACAGCCATGCCCATTCATACACGTGTTGTCTATGGCTACTTTTATGCTACAACAGCAGAGTTGAACAGTTGCAACAGAAATTGTATGGCCCACAAAACCTGAAACGTTTACTACCTAGCCCTTTATAGGAAATGTTTGCCAACCCCTGGAATGATCCATTTGGGTTACCAAAACCAGAAATGTTTGTTTAAACTGCTTACGAGAAAGAGGAAGGATACTGTAAATCTTCAAAAAAAAAAAAAACTATATTGGCAAGTTTTAAAACAATACTTGAAACTTAACAGTGAAAATTGGGGTCCTTAATTAACTGCAGGAATCTTATTCACTACTTCTTTACTCGAATCCTCAGAGGGTGAGAGATGAAAGCTTACTGCCACGTCAACCATCCACATATTCCTGCCACTCAAGACCACGAATTCCCTCACTGCCCATTCTCACCTCTTCTAGACTGAAAAGCACACCCCCAATTGGCGCACCAAAGGCAACGGAGACTCCAGCAGCTGCTGCAGCTGAAAGCACCTACAAGACAAACAGACCTGCATAAGCTCCAAGGCCTTTCATGAAAACAAATATGTGCAAACATGTGTAGATGAAAGTGGAAATGGGGGCTTCAAGAAGAAAGTTTCAGAGCCCACAGATGGAAGCTGAGCTGGCCCACCTCACGCCTCTTGCCCTCATTCTTGCTGTACTTGGAGAAAAGGCTGCTGAAGAAGTTGCCACAGCAACAAGCCACGTGCACCAGCGGCCCTTCTTTCCCAAGGCTCAGGCCGGAGGACACTACCAGCACCAGGGTGACCGTCTTGATTAGCAGGGTCCACTTCCCCAAGTAGCCCCTGATGATAAAGCCGCTCAAAATGGTCTTTATCTGAAACAGAGGAAGAAGAATGAGAGGGAATGAACAGCTTCAATCCACAGCTAGGAAAATGGCCGTAATTCCTCTGAGTCACATTATAAATTGAGATTTGCTAAATCCCATGGGAGAGAGACCATTTTCATTTCTGATTTATCTGTCATTTTATATTAATATATAATTGTATATTATGTTAACAGAAAATGTTAAATTCACTGTATGGTAAATTTTGAGGATTCCTAGAGTACCAAAAGATCATAAAGGGACTAGGTCATTATCAAGGTCTCATTTTATTTATTTTATTTATGGCATTTTATCCTGCTCACATTACCCTTTGCTGTGTTGAGAAGAGATATATATCTATTGATTTTAACTGTTAACTTTTGACTCTTGAAAGATATCCAGGATAAAGAGACAGAGAGCTGGCCAGCTAAGTGACAAAGTGGAAAGAGTAAAGGCATTAAGAAAAACCCACCCCAAAATGGCAAATCCACTCTGGCAAAGTGACTATTTTGAGTTAAAGGAACTTGAAAAACAGCAGGTGCAAGAAGATCACTCTGACCTTCCTTCTGTTTCTTAAAAGCAGAGGTGAAATTCCCATGTGAAAGATGCCCTTCCTATACTAGAAGGAAAATATCATTCTTATTATCAGGGACAGGAAGTTGAGGCTAAAGGAAACCTGTAAAAACAAACCTTGTTAGACTGACCCTCATCTTCCTGGCCACTTCTCTGCCCAGCTAACTCCCCTTAGCCAAAGCTCTTGCTCCTTGTCACATTTTCATGACTTAGTCCTCGTTGTCCAACTCTATATAAATGTTCAGCTCCAACCACATCTTCGGATCTTCATTTCCTTATAAGGACTCCTGTGTCATATAAAACTTGTATTAAATAAATTTCTGTGCTTATTTGCTTACTTCTATTGATCTGTCTTAAACCAACTTAATTCCCAGGCCCAACTGAAAACCCCTAAAAGAGTAGAGGTAAAATTCTGCCTCCCTTACAAGAGCAAAATGTCAATTGAAAATGTGAATAGCCCTGACAACAGATAACATTTTGTATTCTATAATTGTCCCATTATGTATTACATAATGGAAAAACAGAAATTGACTACGAATTTCATTGACTGATTCACCTGGTGTCTAATTAATATGCTTATAGGCTTGTAAGTTGCTAGCTCAGCAGTAAACATTCATTCCATTTTAGCCAACTGTGGAAGCATGAACAAAATGTCAGGGATTGTTAAACTATGGCCCATGGGTTAAACCTGGCCCACTGCCTATCTTTGTATGAACCATGAGCTAAGAATGGATTTAACATTGTTTAAAGTAACATGTTTTTAAAAAAAAAAACTATTAGCCTTTTAGTGAGAGTAGTTGCTCCATTTTACCTCTTACCCTTCAAGGTCTAAAATATTGACTCTCTTTCCTTTATAAAAAAAAAGTCTGCCAACACCTGCAGAAGGCGATGAATAAATAGGTGTTTACTACCCAATTATTTCAACTTTTCTGTATGTATGAAAATATTCTTGATACAATGTTAGAAAATGAAGAAGATGTTCAACATCCTATTAACTCGCCTTTAGGGGATGTAAAGATGATTCAATCCATGACAACTGCATCTGTCCCATGGAATCCTACCCTATTGTATTGAAAAGGACTTTGACCGCAGGGAGAGTTGTCTTGCTCCGTTTTCAGACCTACTCCATTTTGTAAATGCCAAATAATGGCTTTCTTCCTAAAGGTTCACTTGAGTCCTTGCCTAGTGCTTTTATTATCCAACTGGGTGCCAATCTCAGTGATTAACTTCATATACTGAGGTTCTCTCCCCCAGAATGGTGTTCTTTTGGATACAGAAGCATCATATATATAAATAACTTTTCTACCTCCAACCACTTCCCCAATTGGCTAAAATGGAGTGAATGTTTACTGTTGAGCTAGCAACTTACAAGCCTGTAAGCATAGATTAATTAGACATCGAATGAATAAATGAAATTCGTGGTCAATTTCTGTTTTCTCATTATGTAATACATAATGGACAATATTATCTCTTGTCAATGCCATTTACATAACTTCAAAATGCCTCTTGGTGGGCACTGCCCTGCCAAGCAATCAGGTTCTCAAGTAGCTACTACGGTCCTTCTCAACCTTGGCACTCATCAGATTCACCTGGGGAAATAGAAAGTATTGCGACTGGTTCTCCCCCACCCCCCAGAGATGTGATGTCATTGATCTGAGGTACATCCAGGGTATGAGGAGTTTTACAGCCTCCCCAGGTGATTGCAAAATGCAGCCCAGGTGGAGATCCCTGTTCCATTCCTGAGAAGAGTAACACAGATATTCCTAATTTCTCAAAACAGCATTTAAGGGATGGCCCTGAAACACTGTTTATTCTTTCATCAATGCCTTCTATTGAGCATCATGTCACCTTTGGTGATTTGGGTGGGTCATGAAGTGAGCTAATTCAAGTGTATGTGTGTGTTACCGAAGGACTCAATGAGCTCCTTCCTACAGCACATGCGGGAGGTCTCTGAGCTATATAGTCAGATGGTGTTTCTTGAACTAGCCTTTAACTAATGACAGACAAACTAGTGGTGGTTAAATCCATCCTTAACTCATGGTAGTTAGCCTAATTGAGACTACGCTGGGACCTCAGATCCCTTTATTTAAAGGATGTTTTATTATGCCTGCCACAATCCTGCCCTTTTGTGTTGCCTTGAATAAAATTATCTATAATTTTTTGACAGTTAGTTAATGTAAATTTGAACCCCAGGGTATAGTTTAAAAGCGCAATACCATTTAGAAAATTACAAGCATCTAAATTACCTGAGATTTTGCCAGCCATGACATGTGGTGAATTGAACAATGTAATAGGTATTGTGTAATTCTCTAAAATGATTTTACAAAAATCTCATGATCAAATTAAGGAACTAAAGAAGGCAAATTCATTCCCAGTAGATGCCAAAATCCAATCATTTGCTTTAATTTGTATTCATAGCAACTAAAGCAAGCAGGGTTTTAACGAGATGTATTGCGGTGGATTTGTGGCTTGGTGTTAACTTGAAAACCAGAACCCTTCCTGGTAAATAAATATTTGTGAGAGTGTTCATGTACTGTAATGAACTGAAACACCAACACAGAGTAAGTTCTGAGAGGATGTGATTTCTTACATAGTTGACAGTGCAGTGGTTCTACTAATAAAGCAAACAGAAGGAGAAAGAGGACACCCTCATCCCATTGTCTCTGAATTCCCAAGTCCAAGAAGCTATGAGTATTCACTTTTAAATGTGTTTTATAGAACTTATATGGAGCATTTCTTACGCAGAAAAGAAGTCTCTAAATTTACATTTTTTAAAAATGTTTCAGCCGGGTGCAGTGGCTCACACCTGTAATCCTAGTACTTTGGGAGGCTAAGGCAGGAGGATTGTTTGAGCCCAGGAATTCGAGACCAGCCTGGGCAACAGAGCAAGATCTTGTCTCTACAAAGAAATCAAAAAAATTAGCCGGGCATAGTGGCACCTGCCTGTAGTCCCAGCTACTAGAGAGTCTGAGGCAGAAGGATCACCTGAGCCCAGGAGTTAGAGGCTATGGTGAGTCATGATCGTGCCACAGCATTCCAACCTGGGTGACAGAATGAGATCCCGACTCAAAAAAAAAGTTTCCAAAAGAACTTTCATCCTAAGTATCCAAAATGTTTTGGAAACAAATGCTGGGGAGGATGAGTAAATTTTAAAACGTACATAGGTGCGCTGCATTAAAAGTTCATTCTTCCATGGTGTGACATGTAACAACTTATAGCAGATTGTCCCAGACAGAGGTATATCTTCTAAATAACTCAGTTGGTATCATTGCTAGAATGAAGGTGAACAGTTTCAGGTCTCAACTGAAGTCAGTTTCCATATTTAGTTGGGTTTTGACCGGGAGGAGGTTCCTTTTATCCATTAATTATTATTTTATGTATTTTTTTACTCTGCTCCTTTCCGCCAAGAACTGCAGTCGGCACTGAATTCTTAGGTTAAGAACTTCGAGCTCTACTATAATAACAGTGAGAACTTCACTACTGCTAAGGCATAATAACCAAATGTAATTATAGAACTTCCATTTGGGTCCTGATACTTTAAAAGATTGTTATGGACTGTTTTGCAAATAGAGAAATGAATTTATTATGTAGTTGCAGGTGGTTAAAAGAAATTTTCTTTTTTTATTAGAGATAAATACTCTGTTGCCCAGGTTGGAGTACAATGGAGCGATCATAGCTCACCGCAAACTCAAATTCCTGGGCTCACGCGATTCCCCTACCACAACCTCCCAAGTAGCTGGCACTACAGGCATACCACCACGCCCAGCTAATTTTTTTTTTTTTTATTTTTGGGGAGACAGGGATCTCGCTATGTTGCCCAAGCTGGTCTCAAACTCCTGACCTCAAGCAATCCTCTCACCTTGGCTTCCAAAATTCTGGGATTACAGGAGTGAGCCATTGTGCCTGGTGGTTAAAAGAATATTAATCAAACAAGCACCCATGTGCCCACTACCAGGTTTAAGGACTAGAAGAGTGGCTACCCTTGAAAGTCCTATATTGGCCTCCCCAATGGAAATTTCCTCCTTCTCCTCACCACTTCCAATCATTTCTTTGCCTTTTTTTAGTTTGAACATGTGTTGCTTCATTTGGGCTGTTTATGGACTGTGTATCAATAGAATCATACTTTATGTATTCTCTTCAACTTTCTTTTTTTAATTGGCATCATGTTTTTTAGTTTCATCCACACCAATGTGTCTCCCTTGTACTTTTGTCACAAAGAAACATAAATGCTCCTCTTGAGCTCAGCTGCCACCCAGAAAGATGCCTGCTTTGGACAATGACAAAGTCGAACCAAGCCCTCAAAGACAGAGTTCACATTTGAGCTCCCTGTCTGTCTATAAGGTCCCAAGTTGAGCCACCATCTCCAGTTCTTGGAAGGAAGGGATGGAAAAGTCCGGCATGCCTTTACTGCTGTTTTCTATTGTTCACCATGCCCCATTGGCCATCTCCTTATTTTGAAAATGCTTGAGTCAGAAATGCCAACTATTGGACAGTAGGATCACAAATAGAGACACCACTAATGATCTCTTCTTTGTATTGTCCAGGGTGCTTGAGTCTTTAGATATCAAATAAAAAACAGTCAGCTCCGCTAGAACGCTATGTTGAAAATGCAAATGTGTTCCAATTTTATATATATATACACACACTGGGGAGGAATTGGAACTTAAAGCAAATTTTGTGTCTGTTTATGCGCATTTCCTCCAGGAGAAATACCAGGTGAATGCAGAAAACCGTACCAAGTGGAGTCAAGACATGTAGGAAAACACAAAACACACACACATGCCCCAAACATCCACCTGTCCACATGTGCTGTCATGACTCTCCTCTGATCTCCATCTACCCTTCACAGAAGCCCACAAGTGGCAGCCCTTCTGACTTCCACTTCCACACGCAAACTTCAAGTTATTCCCAAGAAGTGACATATTTGTTGTGGAATTTATGTATTTCTTAGCCATGGAATGTGTAAAACTGTGCCACTGTTTTTATTAGGTGCCTGTCTTTTTCAGATGTGTCGCTGATGGAAGTTTTTGTGTGTCATGTCCCTAACCCATGTTCCCCAGAAGCCCTGTGTTTATTGTGCAATTTTGCTTGACATGGTGAATTTTAGGAATGCAGACAGCATTATAGCAGAATTGGCTGCACTGAGAAAATGGGATGGTTACACCGCTTGTCTTTCAGGTTCCTGAAGCAATATGTTAACACAAGCCATCAAATATTTAGCATGACATATTAAGACTTTTTTTCTCTTTCCTGAAAAAAATGACCATATTGAATTTTGCCTTTGACCATCTTTTAATTACTCCCTTTCTGTGAACTGCCTGGATCAGAGTCGGGGTTAGAGGGCACCTACGTAAGTGTGGATTTACTGCCATACTCGACCACAACTGCATCTTCAAATTCACTAGCTGACTGCCTGTGGGCATTGTGAAGACACCAACCCAAAGGAGAACTGAACTGCAGGATTACAGTGATAATACCAGAACTTTTAAAATGACTTCCAGCTAAAATTGTTACTATCTAGGCTGTTCAGGAATCAGCTCAATTATTGTTATTCTACCCAGTAGGTCCTCCTAGGTTTTAAGTTTGGTCTCAGGCATTCCCCCTTGATCGATGGGGTCGCTCCTCTCATACTTTGGTTACATAAAAGTGCTGAAAACCATAAGAGCTCTAAATTCACAGAGGTACATTCGCAGTGCATGCACTAAAAAAGAAATTGAGTTTTGTAAAGATTGCTATTACCCTGTCACCAGAAGAGCAAAACATGACAAGGGAGTTTAATCATCAGCAAGCTTTCTCAGCAATAAGCCTGCACTATTGTCTTTTTCGCATGGCATCACAGATGCACTTATGAGTTATTATAATGCCACGTTTATGTGTGAGGTTAATGAACTCTGATTTCCCAGGCTTTAGGAGTTGTGACTGGCTCACAAAGGTAATCTTCTGAGAAGCAACAGAGCCAAAGTCCTGAATATAGAGTATAAATCCTGAAGTCAAACTGCTGGGTTCAACTCAGAGTTATCAGCTCGGTTATCTTGGGCAAGTTACTTAACCTCTCTGAGCTTTAATCTTATTGTGAAGACGAAACAAGCTAATCGATGTAAAGTGCTTAGAACTGTGCATGGCACAATAACGCTACAGAAGGATTTGCTATTCATATTATTGGTACAAGAGAAATCCAGCCATGACTCACCTCTGGTATACCAGAGCCACAGGCGTATGGCGCGAATACACGCACCAGGGAGACGGCCAAAAACGCAAACAGCAGCGCCCACAGGATATACATTAAGTAATTCAGAATGTAAGCACTGGCACCCTAGACAATGGACACAAAACAAGAAAGGAAACATTAGCCATGGCAGACCTGAAAGCAGACCCGACCCCACTCCCTCCAGCATGACAGCGAAAGCTTTGAAGGGATTGGGCAGGTTTGGTCCTTGTCCCGTGTAAACGAAATGGCCAGTGTTGGTTTATCAGCTGTTGCTATTGCTACAGTCAGCACACACAAACAGAGCACCAGCTGTTTCTTCAGGAGCTGTTTACGCCCACCTTCTACTGGGTGAAATCTCCGTAGTAATGGAAACCGTGGATGATGATTGGTTTTAATCACCACTTGCACTAGAGTTAATGAAAGGTGTGACACAGAAAATTCCACCTTCAAGACGATGGCAGATGTGTTTTGTCTCGTCTGTGATGGATTGGTCTCTCTTGGCTTTCATTAAGGCCCCACCCACACCGCAGCCAGCCCCCGTGCTGCCAGTAAATAGGGTCGGAAGTATATTTTAGAAAACTGCTACTCAAAGTGTGGTCCATGGACCAGCAGCATCAGCATCACCTGGGAGCTTATCAGAAATGCAGAATCTCAGGACTCACCAAGAGCTGCTGAATCAGACACTCTGGGGTAGGGCCCAGCTAAATATGTTTTAACAAGCCTTCCAGAAGGTTCTGAGTTCTCAAATGTATGCTAACATTTGAGAGGCACTGTTAGAGGAGAAAAACTTGATCACCTCCTTTAGAATAATTCATTGAACTATTTATTCCAAATTATCTGATGTGTGGGGAACGTTTTCTGAACCAAACATACAGTCTGGGGTCTTTTAGGTCAAGGACCTGGTCTGCTGAGTGGCGACCACATTTCTCCAGGCCTCAGCTTCTTGCCACCATCTGGATTACTCAAGTGAGCGGGGGAAGGAAAGGGAGGTCGCCTACAAGTCAGGCCGTGGACACAGCCACATGTGTGCCTATTAAATGCAAAAACACGTTCCAGGAGACTGCTCTGGCCTTTACAAGCACATATATTCACACCCTACGTGGTGAGAAATCAGACTGAGCAATACCTTTCACCCACTTAAATATGTACATTTTTGGAGGCTAAAAATAACTTCTCACTCTTACTAACAGTAATTCTTTGAATCAAAGTATAAATCTTAAAAACAGTTGAAAAGATGGATGGCCATATTTTCCCAAAACACACATTGCAAGTAGGAGAGAAGAAAGAAAAGATGGCGCACAGCCAAGTCTGCCTGCCCACTCCCATCAACCCCAGTAGAGAATTTCTTGTTGGAAGTAATGGAGAGCACTGAGAACGTGTGAGATTTCAAGATCCCTGTCTACTTCTGAGATTTGAAGGAATTAATTTTCAGTTCCACTGAGAAAGAGGTTTAACAAGATGGCAAAGCGCATTCCAAATGTCTTCAGCTGTGGTAAGTCAGTCAGGCAAACAAAAAAAAAGGGGGAGAAAGGAGATGTATAAACAGATTACATATATCTCCCAAGCATAGTTCTAGCTTGAACGATCCTCACATTACCCCTAATGTGAAGATTGGCAACCCAGCTCCCCCTCTTGCCCATAGATGGTAACCACTGAATTTGGGTAGAAGTTAACCCTTTCCTGAGCTAAGATTTTTACAAAGATCTGAAGCTCTTAAATGCCATGAAGGCAAGCACTGTGTCTGTGGCTCACCACTATATCTCCTGTGTCTGGGACACTCTCTTCATAGAAGGCCCAGAACAGCCTCTGTAATATGCTCATAAAATGCAATGGAAGATGAAAACTGAAACGAAAATGAGATGAAAGCTTAAACCACTTCACGCCCATTAGGATAGCTAGAATCAAATGCAGATAATAACAAGTGTTAGCAGGCAGGTGAACAAATTGGAACTCTCATACACTGCTGGTAGAAATGTAAAATGATGTAGCCACTTTGGAAAACAGTCTGGTAGTGCCTCAAAAAGGTAAACACAGAGTTCCCATCTGACTCAGCAATTCTACTCCTAGATATCTACCCAAGAAAACTGAAAACTATGTCCACACAAAAGCTTGTACACAAATAAATGTTCATCGCAAAATCATTCACAATAGCCAAGGAATGGATGCAACTGTGAATGGATAAATAAAATGTACTATATCCATATACTAGAATATGATTTGACCACAAAAAAATAACAAAGTACTGATTCTTGCTACAACATGAGGAGACCTGGAAAACATGATGCTACGTGAAAGCCAGACACAAAGTCTCCACAGTGGATTCTTTCATTTATATGAAATATCCAGAAGAGGTAAATCTATAGAGACAAAAAGTAGATTAGCAGTTGCTTAGAGCTGGTGGTGAGGGGGACATGGGAGTGACTATGAATAGGAGGGATAAAACTGTTCTAGGCCGGGTGTGGTGGCTCACAACTGTAATCCCAGCACTTTGGGAGGCAGAGGCAAGAGGACTGCCTGAGCCCAGAGGTTCAAGACCAGCCTGGACAATTTGACGAGACCTTGTCTCTAAAAATAAATCAAAAAAATTAGCCAGGCATGGTGGTATGTGCATGTAGTCCCAGTTACTTCGAAGGCTGAGGTGGAAGGATTGCCTGAGACCAGCAGGTCAAGGTTGTAGTAACCATGAGCATACCACTCCAGCCTAGGTGACAAAGTGAGACTCTGACTCAAAAAAAAAAGTTCTAAAACTAGACTGTTGTGATGGTTGCACAACTTTGTGAATGCACTAAAAGCCACTGAAATGTACGCTTTAAATGGGTAAACCATATGAACTGTGAATTGAATTGTATCTCACTAAAGCTGTTGCGTTTTTTTAAAGGATAACTTATCTTTTTTCCTCCATTAGAAGGTATAAAAATCAACCCTATTTCTTCAGCACGATCAATAAACTACTTTTGATAATGACTGGAAGGAAGGAAGGGAGGAAGAGGTTAAACATGAGACTTTGAAAAGTGCATATATCTGTGCTCATGAAACAATGGGAAAAGGTTTTGCAAGTGAAGTTTGTGTGGTAGCATGAGAGCTAGAAAAAGTAAGTCATACTAGTGGCAAGTCATGGACTTTCTATTACCAGAGCAGACACTTGAAGGTGAAGTCATAGACATTCACACGTTGCCCAGCAGCATTCCAAAGCATGTGTGGAATGCAGGAGTCCCCAGCCAGAACCCTACCCAAACACCCACCTCTGACTGATTTACCAGCAGCTCCGACCATTTCTGCCACAGGGGACACTTGTCCCTGTCCTCAAAGGTGGTCTCATTGGAAGTCCAGCAGCACTGCTCATGGCTGTACCAAAAGGCAGACAGGCAGACCCCCTCCTTCAGATCTGTCATCCAGTCGACGGCGAGATCGATGACCCCAGCCAAGGTGCCTAGAAGAAGCAGCACAAGTCACTAAGAGGAATGGCCCTATGATGCAATGAGAATGAGAATGTACAACATGGCAGTCACGTAATGAAGGCCCGGACACCAGAGCAGGCCATGCACTTGACATGGGACAGTCACGTACAGAGGAAGCTTTGTTTACTAACTTTGCAGTCACTTGAGGCAGCACCAGCCCAAAGACAGATGCAAAGGGCTCTGTGGCTCAAGTCAGGTCGGAGAGAGTCGTAGATTTACACTCTGATCTCATAGCACTGAGGCCTAGAAACTTTCAGAATTCTTCCATTTCCAAATTTTTGAAACAGGATATATACACCATAAAAGATATAGTCTAGGGCAGGTTCTGGAGCAGGATCCTACTCACTCACTCACATTAAAATCTCTCATGGAAACAAGATAACAAACAAAATGGACACATGATGACTATGACAGCTTCATATCATGAATGAGTAAGATTTTACTACCAAATGGGAACTAAACTCGGGAAAACCCTATTTATTAGAGTTTTATATATTTTTTAAATTACGGATAAAGGATTATATTTTTACTACCTAAATAAATAATTACTTTTTTTATTTTACAGATATAGAGTACAATTCAGGGTTAGTTGCATAAGTGGTCATTGTACAGGTAAAGTTTGGGCCTTCCTTTGGTGCCCACTTCGCCTGGTTTGAGACCAGGAGCCCTTATTCATGTTATGTGTCCCTCCCCTGCCCCTGGCAGTGTCCCACTGCTGCCAGTCCCTTTCTTATCGTATTATGATAAATGTTCAGGGTCCACTTATGAGTGAGTACATGTGGTACAGCTGCTTTAAAATTCAACAGAAGTGAGATAAAATAGAATGTGCAGTTGGGTGGACCACAAAAGTCTGCCTTGGGTCCCTTTCCAAAATAATTCATTCTAGTCTCTTACAAAGACAGGGAATGCTTTGGGGCATCTCAATTTTTGAGACTTTATACTGGATCCTCATTACAGTACTGGTTCCACATCCACAGCCTGAAAGGCATCCATACCCCTCATCAGCGCTCGCCCTCCCTTCCTCCTGTGGTTACATTAGAATCAGCTCACCTCAGCTGGAGATATCCTTCGTCCTCAGGGTCTCATTCTTCCAATTTCCCTTTCTCCTGTACCTTCAACGTCTTCTGCTCTGATGGCTCCTTCCCATCAGCGTGTAAGCATAAAAACAAAACCCTCCCTGGTCCCACTTTCCCCTTCAGCCTCCATCCTGTCTCTCTCCTCCTCCTCACAGCCCCTTGGCCCAGTCCACCCCCACCATCCACCAGGAGACTCCCGTGTAGCTAAGGGCAATGGTCTTGGCTCAGTCCCAACCCTTCAGAATAGGATCAGCAAACTACAGCCTGTGGGCCAAATCCAGCCCACAACAGTCTTTGTAATAAACGTGTTACATGTGGTATGTGGCTGCTTTCATGCTACAGTGACACAACTGGATAGTCGAGGCAGAAATCACACAGTCCACAGAACTGAAAATATTTACTCTCTGGCCCTTTATGGAAAAGTTTGCTGACCCCAGTTCTGGACCTCTCAGTATCATTTGACTCTTCTGACCAAACTATCCTTCTAGAAACACCTCTTCCTTTGGCTTCTACATCATATCCTCCTGGTTTCCTACTAGCTCTCTGGTTTTCTCTCTTTCCAATCTTTCCTACTCCTCTCCTCAACTTCTAAAAGGTGCCTTTCCTCAAAGCTTGACCCTTAACTCTTTCTCTTTTCACATTATGTTCTCAACCCTGGAAACCTTATTCACATCCTTCTATTTGCCACTGAGACGAGCTGTGCCTCTCCTGGGCACATATTATAGAACCCCCTGCCTACTGCAGGGTCAATCAATACAGAGCCCAGCCACCAGCCACCAATGCTCATGTCAGACATCACCAATAGTCCACAACACACACCAATGGATTTGCCTTCACAACCCTTTTGACACACTCATGGCAGACATTACTAATCAATCATGGTACATTCTTGTGGACTCACCCTCTCAAACCTTTGTAACAGTCTCACACAGTCAAAGACAATAAAGAGGAGATGTCCAAGGACATAAGTCTATTTGCCTTCCTGGTTCTCCTGTGTGTCTCCACTCCAACTCACTGCATCCAACACTGAACTAAAGCATGTTCCTCCTAGCCTCAGCCTTGTCCCAGCTGAGGAAGAGTTCACCAACCAAGCACAGTTCTGTGCAAACTGTAAGCCTGGGTAAGCAGGCCCCTTCCAGGTGATCCTCACATCCCAGCAACTCCACCTCTGAAATCTCTCTTGAGTGATCCCACTACTCCCCTCCCCACTACGTAGGCTGCCATTCAGACCACCATTTTGGAATCATTGCCAGCCGGGCTGCTGCAGGAGCCTCCTCTCTGGTCTTTGGCCCCAGTCTTGCCCTGTCCGTGGCTTCTCCATGCTGCCGACCCTTACAGCTGCCCCTCATATCTCGCCAGCTTCATCTTTTTGCCTCACTAACCCCCCACACCCTGCCCCTCCACATTCCTGGAATGTGCCAAGCTCTCCTTTCACACCATCTCAGCAAGCACTACCCTCTCCTTCAGGCAATCTCCTACTTATCTTTCAGACTCCAGCATTTATATTACCACCTTCAGGAAGGCTTCCTTGATTTTCCAAGCCTGGGCTGACTATACCTCCCAGGCTTTCCTGAAGCTGCTTGCCCTTCCCCCCTCATCATACCACTCATATCCTAATAGCACCACTAGATATACCTGTTTGTACTTCCACTAGTCTATAAGTTGTGGGAAAAAATGGTTTCATTTTCTGGCTTTCATGCCACATGTTTATGCATCCTCTCTAAATGGACAGAGACCCTATCTGCCTTATCCATTGTTGCACCCATGTCAAGTACATAGCCGGAACTAGATATCCTTGTTGAATGAATGAGTGCAATAAACAAATGAATGAAAAACTCAGAAAACTCAGGTCCATTCATTCAAGAGATATTTACTGAGCACGTACTTACCACGTGTCAGTTACCAGTTTGTGCCCTGAGGACACTGCAGTGAACAGAGCAGACCAGAGTCCCTGCCTTTGTGGAACTGAACCTTGCAGGGGGCAAAAGACACTGGACAAAATAAGTAGGTACATTAGAGGCTCCATTAAAAGGTGTAAGTCTAGATATCGGTTTGTTTGTTTGTTTTTTTTTTTTTGAGTTGGAGTCTCACTTGGTCGCCCAGACTGGAGTGCACCCAGACTGGAGTGCAGTGGCCGCTCCCAGCCACCGCAGCCTCGACCTGCTGGGCTCCGGTGATCCTTCTGCCTCAGCTTTCTGAGTAGCCAGAAATACAGGCGCGCGCTACCACACTCGGCTGATTTTTTGATTTATTGTAGAGAGGAGGGGTCTCGCTGCCCAGGCGGGTCTCAAACCCGCGGGCTCAGGCAATCCACTCACCTCAGCCTACTAAAGGCGCGGGATTACAGGCTGAGCCACCGAGCCGGCTCTAGATATCGTATATTTTTATCACGTACAACACGACGTTTTGAATTGCACATACTTTGTGAAATGGTGAAAACTATTTCCTGATTTAAAGTTGGAAACTGAAACCCAATGAAAAGAAATCATACATGCTCAAGTATTTTCCCCGGCTTATGAAATCACGAACACTCGGCTGGGCCTAGCGCTAGTCCTCCGAGTCAGCTGAGGAAACACTGCCCCCTAGCAACAGCAAACGGGAACAGTCAAAATTGGCATTTCATGAAGTCTTTCCAAAGAGCCTGGTAATGTCAAATTTAGAACAATCAATAAGAAAAACAAAAGCAGAGGGGTCCTTATCTTGATTTTTAAACTTCTTAAAACTTAACAGATAATAACTGTGAATTTATGGGGTACAATGTATTTATGGGGTACAATGGGGTACAATATCTTTATGGGGTACAATGTTATGTTTTGATTGATGTATACATTATGGAAAGATTCAGTCAAACTTCTTAACATATCACCGCCACTCCAATTTATAATTTTTGGGGTGGGAATGTTACAAATCTATTTTTGCAAGTTTGAAATATACAATACATGACTACTAACTGTGGTCACCAGGTAATGCAATTGCTCACTAAAATTTATTCCTCCAGTCTGACTGAAACAGACTCTCTCCTCAACATCTTCCCTTTCCCATCCCTCCCCGCCCCTACCAGCCCCAGCTAGCCACCTTTCTACTCTGCTTCTATAAGATTGGCTTTTCTAGACTCCACAAACAATGAGATCAAGCTGTGTTTGTCTTTCTGTGCCTGGCTTATTTTACTTAGCATAATGTGGAGAGATGTAATTTTAGAGTAGGTGATCAGGGAATGCCTCAAATGTTAGATGGCATTTGAACAAACATTTGAAGAAGGTTAGGAGGGGGTCCTGCAGCTATCCAGGGGAAAGACACGAAGATCACCCCGAATTCCGTCATGACTCAGTCGTCATTCACAATCCCACTATGGCGCACCCAATCTTCCTCGCTGATTTTGGCTCTGACTGCTGTGGTCGGGCCTCGACTTTGTTCTGTGGTCTCACAGCGACACCCAGTGGCGACTTCTGACAAACGCCCTGCCAAGGAGCTGCTAGGCGTCTCCATGAAGGGCATTGGAATATGATGGCCATGTGCCCCTGAAGGGACCGCCCGCCAGGAAGGGGGACCTCGTATCCTCTCCGCCATTAGTTCAACGAGGAAAGGAAAGTGAATGGGGCACGGCTCGCTGGCTTTCCCTTCAAGATGCATCCAGATCAAAAGAACACTGGAGCCCCTTTCCTGTTCAGCATCATCCCATTCTTGGTCTCCACGCATTCAACTACTTACTGACGTGCCCATGGACTTTCCTTTCCCCGGCGGCACACAACCCTGGCTGCACAGTACAATCACGGGGGGAGGGCACTTTACTTAATGCCAAGGGTCCTCTCTAGAGACACTATTTAAGTGAAATTCGGCAGCAGTATAGACAGAGAGAGATAGATGACAGATGATAGGGAGACAGGGAGATGAGAGAGAGAGAAATAGAGAGAGAGAGATAATAGATTAGATAGATGATAGAAGGGTAGAATAGGATAGATATAGATGGATAGATGAAGTCTTTTTTTTAATTCCCCAGGTGATTCCCCCTGAAAAAGCCTACGGAAATCCAGCTGATAGTGAAGCCAGCTGTTCAAATAAAATTAAAGACAGCCCAGTCAGGCTCCTATATTAGTCAATAAATCTGTGCTGTTCACTCCGGGAAACATCAGAACCTCTATTCCGGGTTTCTTCATTTGCCCTATTTCTCCTTCCTGGAAGCCAAGAACAATGATACATGGTGAGATTTTATAAGTCTATTCTAAATAAGAACATCAAAATTCGTATCAAACTCCCACCCTGCCCACCTTCGAGGGTCTTCATAGAAGCAGTCAATTATGTGAAGTGAAATAAACCAGACACAGAAGGACAAATATTGCATGTTCCCACTCATATGTGAGAGCTAAAAAGGTGGATCTCCTGGAGGTTTAGAGTAAGTAGATTGGTGGTTACCATAGGACTGGAAGGGGGTAACGGGGGTGAAAAAGGAAAAAAGAATATGAAAGCGTTTATTACCACCAAACGGTACACTTAAAATGACAAAGATGGTAAATTATAGATGTATACTTTACCTAAAAAAAAATTTTTTAACTAGATTGATGGCCAAACACCTCGTGTCAATGAAGTCTAAGTCCCTGCCCTGGTTGCTCTCCATCTATGCTGAGAAATGACACTAGGGGAGGACAGACAGACTTAGAGAAATGGACAGTCAGCCTCTGCAATTAGTAGGAAAGGACTTCCCCTGCAAGCATTTATCTTGGCTCTTAATGAGATACCGAGGCAAGTGAGGCACATGGAGCCCTTTCCCGGCAACCAAGTTCCTTTACAATTGTCTATGGAATAAATGAAAGATCACCTAAAGATTGAAACCCCTGTGGTCACAAAATTATATCTGTGCTCCATTACTGTTCTGTCATAGGTAGATAGGTAGATAGATAGATAGATAGATAGATAGATAGATAGATAGATAGATATCCTAGTCAATTTCCTGATCACTTCTCTAAACATAAATATTACATTAGTACATGTAGGGGCTTTTATTAAGGGGACCTCTTTAGCATGCTCCAATTTTTTATTCTTAGACATTAAACTTCACATTCTCCTAAAAGGAAGTACGTTTCAGGAAACAATCTCCAAGAAGAGTCAGTTGCTTGATATTCAAAAGACAGGTTTCCCCTCCAGATATTCATCAATTTACTCCAGAAACACCTACTTCTTGCAATATGGTGCTGGGGTTTTAAAAAAGAAGGATGCAAGGTCCCTGAGGGTCAGAACAGTGTGACACTGGCCCTCAGGGAGGCCCCTGGGTGTCTAGCATGATTTGGGTGCTGCGAGAAGTTCATCCCAAGGCCTGCCAGTAGTAGTAAATCTCATATGGTGTTTTATTATTGAAAATCAAAATGGTCCGGTATTTTGTTGCCGTCTCCACAGCCAAGTACAATAGCAGATAAAAAGCGTGCTTTCAGGATGCTCCACTGTGACACTAAACCTTTATACTAAGCAAAGCAGCTCTGTCACTCCAGCTCTCCAGATCTCGGGCTTAGGCTTATGCCTTGGGCGTGCCTTATCGATGACAGATTTTGGGTTAAATATATGGCTGTGTATTTTGCTCTTAGATACTTCAGCTAACCAATCCCTCACATGTGGATAAAAGAGGCACACTCCATCTCCCCGGTATCATCCCACAGGGCCAGTGTCTCGGGGAGGGGGCACCTCCAGCATCCCGGGGAGAGTACCGCATGCCTGTCACGTACCCGCCAGCAGACCAATGAGCAGCATCACCACCCAGCCTGACCAGGCGTCCAGCAAACTCTTGATGAACTCCCATATGGACTCCTTGCTTTTGCTGGTTATCTAAAACAAAGCAGACACGGCAGCTGATCGGGACACATATTCCAATTCATGCTTCTTTCCCTAAAACTGTTTCCTCAGGAAACAGGGTAATTAAAAAAATAAAATGAATATAATCCAGCAACTGAATTCCCAGTCACATTACTCTTTCAGTGATGCACCACAATAGTAAAATGGGTTTTCTAGTTCACAGAGCTATAAAGATGCCAGAGGAGTCTCCAAGGAATTCGAGCACACACACAAAAAATTCACTTAATTAAAAAACAGACTAAATGGGATTTGATCTTTGATTATTTAAAAGCCATGCTGAAGAGGGACACTGGTTCAGTGTCACCATTTCAAATATGAGTTACTATCTAGCTTACATTGTAAGATCTGTTCATTAAAAAGTCTCCAACGGAGACTTCATCTCCTACTTTTGCTTTCAAGATTCAACTTTAACAGCATGAACTTAGAATGAGCTAGTACAGATCACATTTCCATAGCAGACAGGCATATGTACACAACTGTAAGAACGTCCCTTGCCTCCTGGTGCTGCCAGAATCACTCCTCTGAGATCATCATTCCCCTCATGGCCTTTCAGAGTGGGGATCGACTAACATTCTGCAGAGGACCAGAAAGTAAATATTTTGAGCTTAGCAACTCCTCACCTCTGCCACTGGAGCACAAAAGAAGTCATAAAGAATATATAAGTGAAGGAGCATGGATGAGTTCTGATAAAACTTTATTTACAGGGCCAGGCGTGGTGGTGCTTTAATCCCAGCACTTTGAGAAGCTGAGCAGGAGGATTGCTTGAGCCCAGGAGTTTGAGACCAGCCTGGACAACATAGCAAGACCTCATCTCTCCAAAACGTCACAAAATTAGCCGGAAGTGGTGTCATGTGCCTGTAGTTCCAGCTACTCGGGAGGCTGAAGTGGAAGGATCTCCTGAGCTCAGGAGGTCAAAGCTGCATTGAGCTATGATTTCACCACTACACTCCAGTCTGGGCAACACAATGAGGCTCTGTCTCAAATTAAATTAAATTAAAAGCTTTGGCTTTGGCCCAAGGGTCGTAGTCTACTGATCCCTGCTCTAGAGTGAAGGTGACCCCATCCCCACGTTCCTGCACGTTGGAGCCAGGGGCCTGCATCATCTTCATGACTGAACCTTGCTCCCTACATACTTCCTTCTTTCATGCCTCCTTCGTGAGGCGATATGGCACAGCCACACTCTCCACTCCCGGCCTCTGAAGCAGCTCTCCCAGAAGCCACTGAGAGCCCTGCTGCACTGCTTCGCCTCTTGCTTGACCTCTCCGTGGAGGGTGACCTTGTAAGCGGCCCCCTCCGCAACACCCTCTCCTCCTTTCACTTGGGCCCACTCGTGGCCAACTCCCCCCTTGCACCTGGACCTGCCTCTCCTTAGTGTCTGTCGCTGGCTCCCCAGCTCCCTCCTCCAGACTGTTAACTCTTGGCACTGCCCAACGTCCTGACTGTCTCATTCCTCCTTATGAGTGTCTGTGCCACCGTGGCCACTTCAAAAGTGTCGGTATCCACTGGCACACAGGGACTCCATCCTGCTCCGCGGCCCTCATCTTGCCTTGGACTGTAGCCACCTGCCCACCACCCATCCCAGCCCAGGCCTGACTGGCAGCTCCTACACAGATCTCATGGGCCACCCCCCTTTTGCTCCCTCTCTGCATCGTCCCCATCTGGCCACAGCTTGGTATCCTTGACCCCACTTCCCTCCTGGCCTCAGTGTCTCCTCTGAATATCTTCAGTCAGCCTCCTCCTCCTTCTCCTGAAAAAAACCATGAGCTTCCTGCTCCTTCCTCTGCAATGCACCTTTACTGAATCCTGTGGCTTTCAACAAAAATACAAACTCCTCTCCGTGGCTGACTTGGTCGCTCCTCATGTGGCCCCAGACTCACTTCTGTTTCTCGCCTTCCATGAGCCTCCTCCACACCTCAGGAGACCCTCAACCTGCCTACGTGTGCCACATCCTTTCATGCCTGTGATTCTATAAAAAAGGCTACTCCTGATGATAAAAAGCCTTTTCTTCTCTGCCCAGCAAAATCCTAGTCATCCTTGAAGATCCAACTGAAATGTCACCCTCTCAGGAAAACCCTTTCCTAACTGTCCGTCCTAAATGATCCCACAGCATACAACTTTATCGTGGTCCATTAAAATATATATTCATTGCCAACTAGATGCCAGGCAGGGTCACATGTACTTTCACATGTACCCAATCTCATTTGATCTTCAGGTGTAATTACCTCCATTCTCACAGATGAGAAAACAGGGCCTAGAAATGGCACGCCCAAAGTCCGCTCCATGCCCTCCACACCACATGGCATGTGGACGTAAACCCCGGCCCAATAACTTCCGACTGAAAGCATGGCATAGTCATTTGCGGAGTGTCCTTCCAGAATACCACCTACCTTCCTGTGTCTATCGGTGTCCCGGGACTTTTCCCTTAGCCAGTCGATGGTGTGAAAGTCCTCATATGTCCCCACATCAGGGAACGGCTCATCGAGGAAATCCATCAGGTTTCCAGAGCCACTCATCGCTCCTGCATAGACCATGCTAGTTACACCTGGATAAGAAAACCAGTCGTTACAAATGTGTGTGGGATATCTCCCCAGACATGGCAGAAAACTCATCCACATGCTCTATTTTCTTGTATAAGAAAATAGTCATTTCAATTTCAGTATCTTGGCTATAATGAAAAATAGAAACAGTCGATTCTCATTCTTTGTGGAAGTGCTGTCCTATAAGTCATGATGAGCACTGAATTAGTGAATATTGGACCACTGCTCCTAAGGGGAATACAGCGGTAGGTTCCTGCAAGTCTCTGGTCACATTTTTGTCAAGCAATCAATGCATAACTTTGTTTTATGTGCTTCTGTCTAAAAACACTCTCTTGAATATAAAGGTTAATTCATTATCATTGAGCTCACACCAACAGCACTATATCACTCATGCCTGAAAGAAGTTTCTAGCACCCATATTTTCTCCATCCAACACATCATTGCCTTCTTACACTTCGGAGCACCAGACAGTGCTCCAGCACTACACATCAGGGCCAATTTAAATGGCAAAATTATCACCAAAAAAAGTGCAAAAATGTGGAAAACGTGGCACTAACTGGAACACAAAAAGGACACTTGTTGCCAGTATGAGCATGGAAACAAGAAGGCAGCGTGTCACCTTCTCAGACCTCAGTGAGAAATGTGAGCCGCTGGCAACTGGAACTTTTTGCCACTCTGCACATGCACATGGCCATGTATGACCTCGAAAGCTCCACAGATATTGATTTGGGAATTACAAATAAATTTTAGCAAGTCAGCAAATTTGCAAATACAGAATCTGCAAATAAGGATCAACTATGCACAGTTCTGCACAGGCATGCTCTGCAAACACAAGGTATCTAAATGAGAGGCCTAGAAGAGCAGAGTTCAATGTTGAATCACTGCAAACCAACCACTACTTGGCTCCCCTGAGCGACATAGTGGGCCACTCCAGCAGGCAGCCTATGTGGCTGTCATCACAGAGATTCAGCAGGTGCAGCAACGGCAGAGTGAAAATGTTGGCAAGGCTCTAAACAGTCCGTGGGAGCCCAGGCAGTACACAGACGGCAGCAATCCTCTGAGTCAGTGGGGCCACCATGGAGATGGACAGGGAGGTGGGACAACCTGCAAGGAACCAGAGCCACAGAGAGCTGGTGGTACACCACCTGGGGAAAGGAGCTCTGTGGGAAGATGTTTGTTTCTAACTTGTCTTAAAATCTGTCAAAAGGGCTCCTGCTGCCAGGGCAGCAGCAAAGTTGAATGTCTCTTCCTCCTCTGTCCAAGATAATCCCACTCCCACTATTCTAACTCCCCTGGCTTGGAAAACAATCGCAAATGAACCAACACCTTCTCCCATGTTCTCCATCAGCAGAGCCTGACTTTCAGGTCATGTAGGAGCTAATTTAAGATGTAGAAAATGGTTTGCAGTGGGACTGATACTCACCACCAGTTAGCAGAAAAAATAATCCACTTTCACTGAGACAAGAGGTTGGAATATGCACTAAATAAAAATTGCTTTGGCAAAGAGCATGGAAATTTAAATTATAGGACAAGGACAACAAAAGTGCTGAAATAGATGGTTAAAAAGTTGGAAGATGGTTATAAAAATATTTCAGTGCAGGCTTCTCCCATTGCTTATGTATTTATATATCTGGAGGACTCAACCACGACCTGATGAAACTGCATTTTAATCAAATTGAAGAGTCGCTATGGGCAAAATAGGGTAATTACTTACAAGCAGTAAAGTGACCACAGTGGTTGATTTATTGATCGTCTGTGCAACTCAGCTGCTTTAAAACTTTAAAAGTTTGGGGTTTGAGCCGTGCCAAGTGGAAAATGATACCCGCTGATGAGTATTCAGGGAAGAATCATGCTGCCTAAGTCAGTAGCAACCAATAATATAACCAATACTATAAGGGAAGAAGGCAAGTTAGAAAGCAAAGACTCCATTCTCATTTCCACACAAACAAGATGATAATAACCTCTTATTATATGTGGCAAAGAAAATCTCAGATGGGAAAAACAAGACGACAGGCTGTGGAACTTTAATGGAGAGCCCCCGGCAGAGAAACTCAGCCAGCAGATAGAATCACAGAGGCTTGGACGGGCTATTAAAAAGTTGAGACTACCTGAAAGTTAATCACATCTCTAGGCAAGTAACTACCCTGGGCAATAATGCTTGAAACAAAAAGCCAATTACATCATTAACCTTTGATGGAGCATGTAGTGGTCCTGAGGGAAATAAACAGGATCTAATCTGCAGAGTCTTAGTGGGGGGATTCCCAGGGAAGGGGGTTTCCTGGGGACCTGGAAGGAGAGGGTGATGTTATCTCCTGAGGTTGGGGTTAAAAGATCATCCACGTCCAGCTGACCACAGATTCATGAGTGAGTCCAGCCAAGGTCAGCAAACTTTGGCCCAATCCAACCACCCAGCTGACCTGTAAAATAATAACTTATTGTGAGAATAATAAATGGTGATTGTTTTAAGTCACTGAGTGTTTTTGAGGGCACTGTTATGCAGTAGCACCACAACAATGGATAATAGGGAGAATGTACTTGGGCTCTGAGGGAGAGGAGAAAGGAAGACGGGTCAAGTTAGCTGATGTGGTACAGACCAACTCCAGGGAGGAGGAGTAGAGCAGTGCTGGATGACAAAGCTACCAACAGAGAGAGGGTGAGGTAGAATTTGCCCACATGCACACTGGAGGTAAACTGCCTGACAAAAGAACATCTCCCCTACACAAACATTATCTAACTCCAAAGATATTGTGGAAGACATGCAAAACACACAGGTCTTTTACTCAATCCCTCAAGGCAAGAAAGTATCTGTAGGCTTGGTCTCCAAGTATGAAGGCCCCAAGATGTCGGGGTCAAAGTCTTCAACTGCAGGTGATAACAACAGATCCAGTAAAACACACTTCACTCAAAGCACATGCTAACTGTGGTAGTATCAATGATGTCGTTTATGGCTTTGACGCTGAAAGCGACCCTGAATGGGTGAGCTCACCCTCAGAACAGAGGTCTATACCATTTAATGGAAACCTGGACTTTGTAGAGTTGGGTGTTCGCAATAACATAATGGGTTCTAGAAGATGAAAGAAAGCAGAAAATCACCCGGATCAAGATCAAGGACAGATTCTAAACATAATCAAGGTTTGAGTGAATACAGAACATGCCACCCCAGGCTAATTATGGTTATCTGCATGTCTAACCAAAAATGTCAGGTAGAAACCCATACCTTTGAATGTGCTATTCCTTCTACCTTGAACAGCTTTTACTCTCCTCTGCCTGGAAAGCTCCTATTCACCCTCCAGAACCTGTTCTGTTTCACTCTATCTATGAAACTTGCATTAATTTCCCCAGAGAGTTGGGGCACCCTCCTTGGTCATCACAAAGCATTATTTATCAGAACTCTAGTTACATTATGGCAACAAACGTCTTCCCACTCCGCCATGACCCTCTGAAGTCATGAATGACAACTTACTCGTTTATCCTCTCCATTACTATGACTGGCATGTAGTCAATGTTCAGTAAGTGTTTCGAGTTCATTTAGATGTGTGCCTATCTCAGAACTTCTGGGGCAACAAACACAAGGACCCCATTACAGAATTTTTCTGGGCTCCCTCAACCCACCCATCAAAAATGTTTAAGTCTGAATTTTATAATAAATTGGATAAATAGACTTTTTAAACATGTGAGCAGAAGAGACAGCCTAGGAAAAGGGAATGCAAAGAAAATGAGTTTGTTGGTACAGGCCCTGCACAGCCCAGGGCAGACCCAACCAGTGCCGTGCCCTCAGGACATCCTCAGGATGACGTGGAAGACATCAGACTCTGAAAACAAGATGGCAAGAGCCACCAAGATCACCCACAAGAAGTTCCTGGCTCTGTGCCCATGGCCGCCAGGAGCACATCCAGGTATAGAAAGCATAGAGAACAGCTTTCCCAAAATTTACAGTCCATGCTTTGCGCTACTAAATCAGCATTTGGGTTTACACCAAAATATTCTGCTTCTCAGGAAAACCCAGATTTCTGAACTAAGGACCAGGTCACATGCAGGAGTGATGGCCCCAACTTATACCCCACCATGGGGTTCAGCCCAGGCCTTAAGCATTCTGTGCCACAGTGTCCTCATATGTCAAAATGGGTAGAGTAATAGCACACAGCCCTCATAGACTTGTGAAGATTAAGTGAGTTACCACAGGTAAAGCACTCAGTATAGATACCATGCAGCTATTCTTTGACACGAGAATTTTGTGTGTAATGCCACTTTGTTTGAGACAAGTCCAAGACAAATGTACTAAGCTGTCACCCCCTCTGCCTCCGAGGTTGCAAAGTTGTCATTCTTTTCACCTGTTGTGCAGAAAGACCCAAACTGTTTACCAAATCAGGGTTCCACAGCTGACTTTGCCTCTAACCAGCTACAGGATGATAGGGAAAAGCCTCCTGACCACCATGGGCCTCAGTCTTCTCATCTGTAAAATGAATGGTCCAAGGATTCTTCCAAGTCTGGAATACTATGACTCTAAAAATGAGTTCAAAGGCTTGAATACACATCGTCAGTTGGAAGAGGGAGTTCAAAAGTCATCTTTCTCTAGTTCTGAGTCAGTCTTCATGATGGTCTATAATTCATCTTTCCAGAAAAAAGCAAAATCTGTTTGTACTTAAGGGTCCAGAAATCACAGGGTTCACCATATTGGAATGATTATCAGGATCAAGCTCAAGGAAGTAGCGATAGTAGCAGTAGTAATAGCACTTGACATGTCAATTGCCCTTCATACCTCTCTGGTGTTTTCTTACACTCTATTTCATTTCCAGAAGTCAGGAAGTACATATTGGCAGGACCTAATGCGCTCATGAGGTGTGTCCTCTTTGCCAGTTCCTCGGGTTTCTGGGTCAGTCTCTGACCTTGAGAATTTGAGCCCAGTAAGAGACCACTGTCAGTAAGAATGTGTCACCAACTTGGTCACAGACATAGCACAAGAAGACCAGGACTGGGACCTGCACCCACTGTAATTATCTGAATG